TGTTGAGGATGCTTGGTGTTTAACATATTAAGGCAGAAAAACTCTCATAAAGTTAGCTTTTAGTGGAGGAGATACAGAATACATAGTTCACAAAATTTGCTATGCAATACATGGACATTGATAAGAGGTTATGTCATTTGTCCAAGGTCACGTGGCAAATTGGTGGCAGAACTATATTCTGACTCTAGGTTCTTTCTTCCTGCTCCTCTGGGCTGCCTCTGTTGGCACGTTGTTGCCATGCTTTAGGATGCTTTAGCTGTTGTCCACGTGGATATTCTAGGGAGTCCGTGAAGATGATCTATTGTGTTATGTTAATTGTTACTGACTTAATGTGTTTTATACTTAGGCTGAAAGAATCACCAATATTTTTCAGCTAAATTTGGATTTACTTAAGCTATTGAATGAAAATATGAAGCTTCAGCAAAGCATGAAACAGGTTTGTACTCTGTAGAGACTCTAGCTTTCAACTATGTCATTAGAAGCACTTTGGGCATACTTGTGAGCAACAACATATTAAGAGCCAGAGTAGATGATTTTTTCTTGTTATTATCAGAGTAGGACACTTTCTCTGCCCACTTGCAAGTGTATATTTTGGGGAGGGATACACAAGTGTATATTCTTCTGCTACTCTTTCCTGGGAGTGAAAGTAAACCAGCGTATTTTATACCTTGGCCATCACAGCAGATAGCAGTTACACCCACACCTTATCTGAGGTTTAAAGGCAGAAGTGATTCTGGAGGTAGAGAAAATGAGGACTTAATATTTAACCTTTTCTTCCCCAATTATATACGTAAGAAACACTCATTCACCTGTATTTCTTTTCCTTTTGTTTTCCCAGTAACTTGACAGTCTTTCAGTGGGACACTTTGCATTATTATGATTGTCTAAGTGCTATATCTGGGTCATGGAAAAGGATTACATTTTCTGTCTCACCCAACATTTTCCTTAACATAATTGTTTTGTTTCCTATATCACTATTCATAATTCATCAATACACTGTCTTCAAGAGATGTCAATCTTATAAAAATGCATTTATTTGAGAGGTGGAGATAAAGTTCATATCTTCTGGGTTACTCCCCAAATAGTTGTAATTTTTAGGGCTGGGCCAGGCCAACACTCAGAGCTGGGAGCTCAGCCTTGGTCTGCCATGTAGGCAGCAGGGATCCAGCTACACAAACCATCACCTACTGACTCTTCAGGGTCATATTTATTGGAAGCAGGAAACTGGATGGACTGAGGCTTGAGCCACTCCATTATCAGAGAAACTGGATGTGGCTGTCGAGTGGTGCCTTGTTACATGAGAGGCTCAGGTCAATTCTTCTTCTTCTTCCTCTTTTTTTCACTCTGATGCTCTTGCTGGCTTTTTTTTTTTTTTTTGTCTTGAGACTATGTAATTTTTGGGATGTGTTGTCAAATCAATCTGCCTTTAGGCCTTCCCATTTTTTATATCTTAGCCTTCTGAGGTCTGCTGAGTTTATTACTACTTTTTCTGTCACTTTCCATTTTTTGTTTTTACAGTCATCTTTGACGCATTTCCTATTTTACCTATTTTAGAAGCGAAGGGTTTATGCTTCTAAAATAACAAAAAAAGCAGCAATCTTTTGTCATGTCAAGAGCAAGTGATGGTCAACCCAGTGTTAAGCTTGTGATAGAATCAAAAGTAGACTTTCATATAAAAAAATCACTTAGATGACATTACTTGTTACAACTACTTTTATGTGGTTTTAATTATCAGTGTTCCTGAAGCAAAATATTGTAATAATGATCATTCACTAACCTTTTATGACTGCATGTTTACTTCATTTTTTAGCAGTGTATTAGATGGCATCTAGTCACTAAATTCAATGGTTTTTCCTTAGTTTCGATTTTTTCTTATTTTTAATGCAAAGTCCAGATACTTGGACAGGAAGGGAGACAGGAAGATCATCCATTCATTGATTCACTCCCCCAGTGGAGCTGAGCTGATTAGAAGCCAAGAGCCAGGAGCCTCTTCTAGGTCTCCCACACAGTTGCAGGGTCCAAGGCTTTGGGCCATCCTCAACTGCTTTTCCAGGCCACAAGCAGGGAGCTGGATGGAAAACAAGCCTGCCAGGATTAGAACCAGTGCCCATATTGGATCCAGGCGCATGCAAAGCAAGGACTTTAAATACTAGGCTATCACACCAGGCCCTTTAATTTCATTTTTTTTAGAACTTACTTTTATTTGAAAGGCATATTTACAAGAGAGACATGTAGAAATAGAGAGAGAGAGATCTTCCCCTGTCTGGTTGACTCCCCAAATGCATGCAATAGCTGGAGCTTCTTCTGGGTCTCCCGTATGGCTTCAATGGCCCAAGATTTTTTTTTTAAAGACTTATTTTATTTTTATTGGAAAGGCGGATATACAGAGAGGAGAGACAGAGAGGAAGATCTTCCGTCCAATGATTCACTCCCCAAGTGAGTGTAATGGCCGATGCTATGCCCATCTGAAGCCAGGAGACTCTTCCTGGCCTCCCACGTGGGTGCAGGTTCCCAAAGCTTTGGGCCATCCTGGACTGCTTTCCCGGGCAACAGGCAGGGAGCTTGATGGGAAGCGGGGCTGCCAAGATTAGAATCTGCGCCCATATGAGATCCCGGGCGTGCAAGGCGAGGGCCTTAACCACTGCGCCATCGCGCCGGGCCCAGTGGCCCAAGAATTTAAGCAATCTCAGACTGATTTCCCAGGATATAAGCTGGGAGGTGAATCAGAAGTGGAGCCACCAGTACTTGATTGGATACCCCCAAGAGATGCAGGTCTTTCAGGTGGAGGCCTGACTGGCTGTGCCTCAGCACGGGCCCCAGTATTCATTTTATTTTGCCTATTAGGCATCATCTGATTCTTTTGTAATTTTATATAAAAGGATTTTTGGGGGTGTGATTGTGTAGGATATGCTCCAATGAAGGGCGAGTTTGACAGAGAAATTTAATGTTTATTGTTTGATAATAAAGTTATGAAGTATAAGTAAATGTTTCTTTCATATATATGGACAATTTCTTTCATGAATTTATACCTTTTTTTTTTTTTTTTACTTACCTACATAGTCTCTTTTCTTCAGGCTAAGTTTGTTACTTTTAAATAAAGGATTTTCTTTCTAGGACATGCAAAGTAACAGAATGGCAGAGGGATAGAGGGAAATGGAGAAAGATGAGTGTTACCAACCATTTTAAAGAAAAGACAATTCATGCTATTAAATATTTGCATGCATTTGAAAGTAATTTTTAGTGACAAATTTATCCCTAGTCATTTTACATGAACTTTAGAAAGTACCTGTGTTGGTTGGGGAATTAGCTCAGGTGGTAGAGCGCTCACTTAGCATGCAAGAGGTGGTGGGATCGATAAAGTACCTGTGTTTTTGTCTCAGAAAACTTTTGATTTTATATACATATGTAAATTCGTTGAAGAATACTTAAGCCTATTATTTTGTACTACCCCAATGTGAAAGTTCTTTGCAATAGGAGTCATCTTCTTTCCTGTCTTTTTGATGTCTGTTATTGACATACCAGCCTTGTAAATGCATCTGTTTACAAACATGTATGACGAATTGCATTTTTTGTTGCGATTTCAGCTTGCTCGAGAAGCTGAAATATCGAAACAAGAGGTGAAAGAATTTAAACAGAAAATGACATTTATGCACACTGAAATACTGGCAGAACAACCTATCAATGACAGTGCAAATCACATTGAGGTAAATGGCTCTACTGATGTGTGTGACTGAGTTGGATAGAATTGTGTCTTAACTTGGAAACTTACAAGTATTTTGTTTTCCAAACAAAATAAAATGAAGCAAATCATTGCCATGGCAAATTATGAATTAAATTGGTAGGCTGGAAACTTGACAATATTCTTAGTATCATATAGCTTGCCCTCTGCACCCACAAATTCCACTGCTATGGATTCAACAAACTGCATCAGATCTATATGAAAAAAAAAAAAGTATTGTTTCTGACAGATTCTTCTTATTGTGCTTATTCTCTAATTATATAATGCTATCACTATTTCCCTAACAGAGCTGCTAAGTATCATTTGCAGAATAGAACTGAGTTAAAATAAAGGTGTTTATGGACTGTATGTGAATGCTGCACTAATGTGCATGAGAGACTTGAGCATGTGTGGATTTTTGCATTTGTGAGTTAGGTGGCCGGTCCTTGAACCCTTCCTTTTGTGGATGCCATGTGACAAATGTATTGTTTAACTTTTTCTCTAAGCTCAAAGATTGAAAGACCTTGAAATACCTGCTAAATAGAACAATAATGAGATACTATTCTCGCACTGTGTGCAAAGCTATAGACCTTTTTGTTTGGTGCCTCAAATTCTTAAATGTGGGAGGCAACTGAAGGATGGAAATTGTAGACCAGAATAGATTTAACTTTGACTTTCCAGAGCAATATATGACACAGTTATATGATATTTTTGTTACAGTGCTAGAAAATTTTCCTGCATTACAAGAAAATACTACCCAGTGCTGGGAAACTTCTCATGTTCTAATTTGAATACTTCTTAAGAATGTATTTTGTGTCAGTTGAACTCCTCACCTAATTATGTTTTCTTTTTAATAGATTGAAATTTGTAATCTTTATATCACAGATTGGTCATTATATAAAATATATCCTTTATGTTAATGATCACTATTATTTGTAGCAGATAAACATCTCATAAAACATTTTGCCATTTTAAAATATGAATTTAGCAAGAATGAACCATTATAAGATGTTTCATTAAGTTTCACTAGTTTTGGTTTTATCTTATAGAGCTTAATAGCCACAACAACCTTGCCTGGACCTTGTTGTAGCCAGCAGCCAGGACCTCCATCTGAATGTCCAATCAAGGTGGCAGGGATGCATCTACTTGCACCACCTGTCGGTGTGGGGTTTAGGAGTGAATATGGTTATGGAGGAGAACTAAGAAGAAGTTGGAATCAGGAGATTGAGTCCGGATGGGAACCCTGGCATTCAGATGAGAATATGGGCATCTCAGTGGGCATCTTAACTACTGTGCCAAATACCTACTCTTGGTAGATTTATTTAAAACTGTAATTGTACATCAACAAGATATATACATTTGGGCTGGTATTGTGGTACTGTAGGTGAAGCTACCACATGCATTAGCATCTCATAGCTGCTTGGTCATGTACTTGAAAGGCAACAGAAAGATGGGCCAGTTACTTGGACTTCTGCACAAATGTGGGAGATGCAGATGGAGGTCCTGGCTCCTGGCTTCAGAATGTTGTGGTAATTTGAGTAGCAAACCCATGAATGGAAGAGTGTTTGTCTTCTCCTCTCTGTTGACTTTCAAATAAAGAAGTAAATCAATCTTAAGAGGAAAGAAATAATAAATGCACTAGTGTAAGTCATTACCCTCTGTCTTTTTTTTTTTTTTAATCTCTGAACACGTTCTAAAGACGGAAATGTGCTCTGCCAATCTTGGAGACGAGATAACCAATGATGACTGTTTGGAACAAGACATGAAGAGTGACTCAGAAAACGGTACTCCCTTAGATATCAAGTCAGGATTCATCTTTTGATGAAATGATGGCTACTTCTTTTGGTTGTTTCGCCTCCAGTCCTTGTTTTTGATACACTGTGCTTTGGCTTGTCTGTAACACAGCGTCATTGTCTCCCTTTACATTTACCTTCAGCTGGAACACCTTCAGTCAATCCCTTCAGCTCCATAGATAGACTTGTAGTCTCCTTCCCTGCTGTTCTCCTCGCAGCTGATACATGTCCTCCTTACAGCTGTTTAAAAAAAATTAATGCCATAATCGTTTCAGTGCTTGTTTTTCTCTCCGTTGTAGGCTAAACAGATGGATAGGTGACATGTTCAAAATAGGAGTGCTACATAAAGCACTAATTCATAGCTCAGCATTTTTATTAAGTTAAATTGTTACACTGCTTTGGATCATCACAGTAATTTTTATCATTACCCATTGCAGTCAGCCTACCAAAAATTGGGTTAGCAGAAGCCATTCACTGTGTTCTCAAACCAGTTATGATGACTTTGTTATTTTTCTTTAAGTGACATTGAGGGGCTGGCATTGTGGCACAGTGTTTTAAGGTGCCACCTGCAATGCTGGCATCAGTATGAATAATTTGCTTGAGTCCTGCCTGCTACACTTCCTTTCCAGCTTCCCGCTAATGTAGCTAGAAAGACAGTGGGAAATGGAAGATGAAAGTACCTGTGTCCCTGATGCCCGCAAGGGAGACCTGGAAAGGGCTCTGCGTTCCTGGATGCTATTTGTCCCAGCCCTGACTGTTGATGTGTTAGGGATGTGAAGCAGCAGAAGAAAGTTTGGTCTCTGTCTCTGGTTCTCCTTTACTCTCCCTCACTCTCTGTAACTCAGCCATTCAAACAAATAAATCTCAGAAAATATTTTATTTTGAAATTGTTACAGATTTACAGGAAGTTTAAAAGTAATATAGACAGATCTCATGTTCCTTACTACCCGTTTCCTTCCTTGATGGTTCTTCCAAATGTTATGCTTTCTCCCCGCAACTACAGCACAAGTAATAAATACATTCATGAAGAAAGATGTGATTTTTTAAATTGTGAAGGATTTATGTATTTATTCATTTACTGAAAATGAACAATGACAGACAAGAGATGGATATTGAAAGATCCTTTATTACTGATTCAGTCCCCAAATGCCCATATCTGCTGGGGTTGGACCAGACAGAAGACCAGGAATTCATCGAGGTCTCCTAAGTGGTTGACCAGAACCCAAGAATTTGAACTTTCATCTGTTAATTCCCTGGTACATTAACAGGAAACCTGACTGGAAGTGAAAGGTGTACTTAAAATCTGTGTGTGTGTGTGTGATACAGCAGTATTATGGCAAGAGAAAATTGCTTCTCATAGTAGGCTTATTTAGTAAGGGGAATAGTGCAAGATTTTAGGCTTGAAACTGACTTGTTCTGAATCACATTGATTATGTCCTTTTTTTTTCTGTAAATGTACAACTTATTAAAAAAAGCTGAATTTATGGGTGAGACAAAATAAGAGGATAACAAAGAAACTAAAAATAAAGCAATATGTGTAACATTTCTTTTATAGTCAGTTTGCAGTTTTAAGTTGGGTTTAAAAAAGCATCTTACTTAAAAAAATTTTAAATCACAGAATTTATATTTACGTTAGTAAAGTATAGAAGGAAATGTTTGAATGTTAGTAATCATGTTTGAATAGAGAAACATGGGCAGTTTATAATCTAATCTGTATTTTCAAAATTCTACAATACATGAGCCGTATCTGTAATAATGAAACACTATTTTATAAATAATACTTGGGCCTGGTACGGTGGCCTAGTGGCTACAGTCCTAACCTTGAACAAACCTGCATCCCATATGGGTGCCAGTTCTATCCTAGCAGCCCCATTTCCCATCTAGCTCCCAACTTGTGGCCTGGAAAACAGTCAAGGGTGGCCCAGAGCCTTGGAATCTGCACCCGCATGGGAGACCTGGAGGAATTTCCTGGCTCCTGGGTTCAGATTGGCTCAGCTCTGACTGTTGCAGTCACTTGTGGAGTGAATCATCAGACAGAAGATCTTCTTCTCTGTCTCTCCTCCTCTCTATATATCTGACTTTGCAATAAAAATAAATAAATCTTAAAAAAAGAAATAATACTCAACATCAATTTAATAAATGATTTTTTTTAGCAGTGGCATAAGTAGTTTAACTTTTAAAATGTGTTGCAAAAGTTTTTTAAAAGTACAGATACACATAGTTTTGTGTGAATTCAGTCATTTATTTTTAAGATATTTACTTAAAATATCCTTGCATTTTCATTTAAATAATGAATATTTTAGAATAGTTATATACCCATTACATGTAATTATTAAAATTTTTTACTTATTAATATGATTTTGTATTTTCTCTTTTCATTAAGTTTGGGGTAATGATAGGTGCCACATTTGGAAAAATATATCTTTCCTACATTCTATTATCAAATAATACACCTATTTTTGAAGCATTCACATTATTTAGAATTGTTAGTTTTCATTTTTATAGATTACTGTAGATGAATTAGCATTTGAAGGTAGGTTAAAATTTATACTTTTCTCTCAGGCATAGTTTTGTTTAAGTCTGGAGGACATCTGAGTATTTATTAGCCAAAAGGTCTAAATTTCTTGTATGATTTATAACCCATATCACGTTTATGCCTAAATGTTAGTGCTGAATAGAACTATAATACTATTGAGAGGCAAATTCTTTACTAGATGAAATGGATATTACTGATTGTTATGGAAATAGTTTAAGGGACTATTGAAATAAAATACTTTTAAAAGCCTTTTTTCTTCATGGATTTTAGCTTCTATGTTGAATAATAGATGCTAGATTGAATGGAAGTTTTTGAGGGTTGTATACAAAAATATGAAACAATATTTAGAATAGTAGACCTAGATCTTTAAACTATTGAAAAGCATTAGATATTCTATCGTTGGAGCCAGTTTAATTTTGTTAATTTTGTTATTAACTTATTAATTTGGTAACTTCTGTCCTCAGATGTTAGTATGTAAGTTAAAATATTCCTTGTGTTATGACCTAAAATTTCCTTTAGAACATATTGAAAATCATCAGACTGAACAAATACCTATGAAGTCAGAAGGGACGCAATTTGGAAATGAAATTGGGACACATCCACAGGAAGTCCCAATAAGAACTGAAGTATATCAAGGAAATGGCATGACGACTTGCAGGTAATAAAAATCATATTGCCAGCTCCATTGGATGAAAAGTAAAATAGCCTTTGAAAGCAGAGTCATGTATTACATGCTCAAATTTCTGTGATTACTGAATGTTTCTAATTTGTGATTAGATTTGCAAAAAAAAAATAGATTTGCTCATTCATTTTTTTTTTAGGGTGGAATACTATTCACCCATTGGAAAGGCTGAAATTCTACCGTCTGCAACAAAATGGTCCCAAACCATTGACCATTATGCTCACTGCACATAAGCCAGTACCAAAAGGAACATGTGCTTTTTCTGATATAAAGAAACTTTCATGCAACATAGATGGATAGTGTAGTATCAAAGAATCACTGTGAGCCCTGCACCTGGATCCAATCACAGTCATGCACTGCACACTGTTGTTTGGGTCAGACAGTATATATAGGGGTGGTTCCAAAGGTGTAAATTACCTGGTGACATGATACCTATGTCCAATTATGTGTATTTTCATAATGCTGTTCCATAGGCTCAGAGATTCCCGCTTCATACCTCATTCTGAACTACTGTATTATAACAGCAGTGTCCTATAGCAACAATCACAAGCCTATGACTCTTCTATTTAAGTATATCTTGGCTTTGTAGGTATAGACAATGCTAGAAAATCTCGTATGCTATGGTCAAAATATATTTAACATTTTCATTGTGAGTCCTCTTACTAGGGAGAAGAGGTGCATATTGGAAATTATCTTTAATGCTAAATATATGTATGTACATGTTTGCCTAAATATTGATCTGGGATTTTGCGTGCAGGTTGACATATCAGAGAGAATATGTGATGTTTGTTCTTTGGGAATTAACTTATTTCACTGAGAATAATGGTCTCTAGCTGGGACCATTTTGCAGGAAATGGTAGAATTTGATTCATTTCGGTGTCTGAGTATTATTCCATGTAGTAGATCTGCTACCGTTTCTTTATCCATCTTTTGAAAGGCATCTGGGTTGTTTCCATGCCTTCGCTTGTGTGGATCATGCTGCTATAAATATAGGGTTGCAGGTCACTTTTTGATATGCAGTTTTCACATTATTTGGATTTTTTTTTTCGGTACTGGACTAGCTGTACAATATGGTAGATTCACTTTCAGATGTCCTAATGCTCTCCATACTGACTGACAAAGTGGTGGCACTAGGTTGCATTCCCACCAACGGTGAGACAGGGTACCATTCTTCCCACATCCATGCCAGCCATGTTGATAGATTGACAAATGTAGACCATTCTCACTGGTATTTGCTGGAATGGTAATGTGGTTTTTATTGGCATTTCCCTAGTAAATAGGGAGCAGAACCCGCTGAGCCTGTGCCACACTGGGGACCCTAGGATGGCATTGGAGGGCCATTCCCCATCCCCAGGTGCTGAAGCAGTTGAGAGTATGGGTGTCACTCCCCTCCCACTCCCTGTTTTCCAAGACACAGAAAGTAGAAAAAAATTTGAAACCATGGTCTGATCTACTTTTCCCTAATCCAGGACACTTCCCACCCTAATCGACTGTGTAAACAAAGTAAGAAATAAAATGTATATAAAGAAAAAAAAAAGAATTTATCTGCATTTATCATGATACAAGACCTGACTTAGTTTCTTGGATTCCTATATATATATATAAATATTACAATCCATTAAACAAATGCACATATATATACATTTGTTTAGTGGATTGTAATATTTTTGTAGTGTTGTTTCAGTCTTTAAGCAAGATCATTACATGTAAGTCCTAAATATAGATTCTGGTACAATCTCAGGGCTTCAAAAGCCACTTATCATTGCAAGAAATATGCACACTAATAAAAATAGTACTGATTACACTACTAACATAATTTACTTCAGGTGTAGTATGATTTTGTTACTTTCTGATCAGACCCAGAAGCCAACTCAAGACTTAAAACTGATTTAAAATGATTCATTTTCTTATTTGAAAATCAGCATTAGAGAGAGGGAGAGGGACCTTGCATCTGCTGGTTGATACTGCACATTCCTGCAGCAGCCAGTGCTGTGCCTGGCTGAGGATCTGCATGTGGGATTCCACATCATTAACCACCAATCTAAAATGACTTAAACATGGTTTATTGTGCCTGACTCGTGTGTAACAAATATAATGCTGCTTTATATAGGAAGTCTGGATAAATGTTATGCCTTCTCATAATTTCATTTTTTTACCTTTTAAATCTAATTTCTACATAAAATTCCTACATAAAACTTTGGCATCTGTTGTGATAGCAGTAGTATTTTAGATGGTTTGCATTAAAATTTGAATTTATAATGTTAAATACTACACCAGGAATGTTTATATAGCAGTTTTATGTTGTGTTTGTAATGATAAGTACGAAAATACTTTTGCGAATCACCAATTTTGATCTAGTTAAGCAATAAAGTTCATTGTTTTATCATGTGTTATTAAGGGAAATATGTAATATTTTGCTTAAGGGAATTAATGACAGAGGAAAATTGCCAACTAAGGAAGGAAGATCATCTTTTCAAAGTGGATGATACTCTTAAGTGTGAAACAGAAGCGATCAACGTCTATCGGTATTAAATGCTTTTTCTTTTGTGGGCTGGAGAGTAGCTAAAAGCTCACCACGAGAAAAAATCAGAGAAAATGCACAGTTAATATTACTTGGATAGGTATATGAGATTTTTAAAAAAATGTATTCAATTTTCTTGGAAAGGCAGATTTACAGAGAGGAGATAGAAGGAGAAAAGATCTTTCATTGGCTGGATCACTCAAGTGGCTGCAATAGCCAGAGCTGAGCTGATCCAAAGCCAAGAGCTTTCTAGGTCTTCCACATGGTTGTAGGGTCCCGAGGATTTGAGCCACCTTCCTTTTCCAGGCCACAAGTAGGGAGCTGGATGGGAAGTGAAGCAGCTGAGATAGGAACTGGTGCCCATATAGGAGCCCTATGATTTGCAAGGTGAAGATTTAGCCATCACACTAGGCTGTTTAAAAGTCTGTTTTCATTGATTTATTTTATTTGAAAGTTAGAGGTACAGAAAGACAGATAAAAGAGATTAGCTTGGCCACATGACCAGAAGTAGAGCTCCTGTAATCTGAATGGGGTGCCTCTATGAGATTATGGCGCCTTAGACATAGAGTTATCCCATTTTGCCACTGAGCCAGCTTTGTTTACAAGACTTTAAGTCTAGCTTTAACCTTGGATCCTCCTTCAGTTGACCCAAGGAAATAATGTAAAGGCTATAGACAAAAGGCAAGGTTCAGCTGTACATGAATAGTTGTGCATCACACAAAAAGCAAAGTTGGACTTTATCTGATTTAGCTTGTTAGTCTTTTTAATTGATTCATGTGTTTGAAAGGCAGCAAACAGAAAGATGAGAAACATGGAGCAAGGAACAATTAGAGAAAGTGAATGAATGAAGCTTTTATCTGCTGGCTCATTCTCAATGACCACAGCTGTGGGTGGGACAGTATGAAACAAGGAGCCAGTAGCTTGCTGTGGGTCTCCTACATGGGCCCAAACACGCAGGCCATTTTTCTCTGCGTTCCCAGGCACATTAGCAGGGAGCTTGATAATGTGGGGCAGCTGGAACTTAAATGAGTGCCCATGCAAGATGTGGGTGATGCAACAGCAGCCTTTGACCACCTTGTCACAGTGCTGTCCCCATCATTTTAATCTTGCAAAGGTAATGAATAACATTTGCCAAATAGAGGACATTGATTTCCTATGATCACATTAAGATTTCAGATGACTGAATAAGCCTCCCGTGATCATACTTAAAGCAGATACACACAGTCTAAATCTTGGGATGACCTTTGTTTCAGGAGTGCCTAAATACTGGAATATTAACATCAGATCATGTTTTGTAAAGAACGTGATAGTTCCTCATGTTTGTTTCTCAATAGGTATAGTTTGGGGAGTTTTTCCCCCTAGAATAGAAAACTCTTGATGTAAATAATGTTTTATGCGTGTCCTGTGTATTGTGCTTATACATTAATGTCAAAATAATTTTTCTTCCTAGCTGGAGAATCAAAGTCCTTGAACAAGAATTGGAAAGAACAATCGATTACTTTCAAATACAGGTGTGTGTGATGTGTGCATGCACATGTGTGTACCATTCATTATTACCAGGTGCAGGTGTGTGTACATGAATGCATGTACCATTCATTATTAACCAGGAACAAGTATGTGTTTAAACACGTACATGTATGTACCATTAATTGTTAACAGGTATAGGTGTGTGTCTCTGTGGAACATTCAGTATTACCACGTATGACACATGTGTGTGCATGTATGAGCATGTGTGTACCACTCTTTATCATCAGGTACAGGGGTGTGTGTCAAGTACAGGTGTGTGTGTGCACATGTGCATGCATGTACCATTCTTTATAATCATGTTTAGGTATGTGTGTATGTGTGTGCAAGCACATGCATAGATGTAGGTCCTAACACCTGAGTGTTGAAATTGAATTGAAAGAGAAAATGAATTTCTCCATCCGTTGCACACTTTTGTTTAGAATGTCACATGTGGCTAAGACATTTCAACAGTTTCAGGATTTCAAAGAGCTTGACACAAGACTTCTTAGGGATCATGTCTCCTGCCTTGTTTTAAAAGCACATTAGATTTCACAAATGAAAGTTATTGACTGAAGAACCTAAAGTGGAAGTTTATTAATTATATTTTAATTGTCTTCACATATTCCTATACTACGTGATGTGTACATGAAAATTTGCATCAATATTATTGTTAGTGATGTTAGTGATGTTTGAAATAGTTTTGACTTTTTGAGTTATTTCCTAAGCAAATGATAGGTACGTTTTTATATAAGAAAAGTATACATTTAAAATATTCTGTTTTTCAGATTATTTATTTGAAGAAAAATGCAAATGATACTTGGGTAAGTTTCAAATTCCCTTAAAGCTTTTTAACTTTTATCAATCAAGTTATGATTTTACTTCTAGAAGATAATACTGAGCAACTAAATTGAAGAAAATAAATTGCTATGTAAAAGGATCACTTTATTTTAATTACCCTTCTTGTGAGAATGAACACATTGACCAATCCATACAGTCTGGTTTTAACGCATTGCTATTTTGAAAGGAACCTATAGTGTCCGCAAGGGTCAGAAGGATGTGATGTGCATATACAGATATGGTCACAGATTCACATTGTTGGGGCATTGGATTGCCCCTTGTTACTTATGAAAGAAAAAAAAAGTTCTCTGAGTCATTTTAATCATTTGTAAACAATAGGGTGGATAAAGTGCTAACTAAGCCCCTTCTACTTCTAAAATTCAGAGTTCTTTAAATATTTATTGAATTACTCACTACGTATTAAGAAGTGTGTGATTGTGAACACTGGTCTGTGCTGCAGAGAAACTGCATGAAGTTATGAGATGTCTTTTGGGGAGTCCCTGACACAGAGAGGTGGAGGAGGCTACTTTTGTGCCTTTTGATGTTTTAGGCACTATACTTGAAAATATTGTGAAATAACATCCATTAAGTCTACTTAATAACTGTGAAGTAGATTTTATTGTTACAGATTTTATAGATGAGACCACAGCCCAAGGTCACGTTATTAGGAAGTGAAAAGCAGAGATTGCAATCCTGATCTTTCCGAGCCTAAGTCTTGTATATTTTCTATCACTTTACTTTGATTTTATTATTTGGTGTGTGTGACTTTATGTTAAAAGACATAGAAAGTGTGCCCTCTAGATCTCAATGAAGCAGTATTTGTCACATCCAATAGAAATAGCATGTACTTACTGAAAGTTCAGACCAGTGCAGTTGTCTGACCTAGCATTTTGGATGCCAGTTAGAATGCCTCCATCACACACAGGGTATTTCGGTTGAACTGCTCTAACTGCATCCAGCTCCTTCAATTTCCTTACTTCCATCTTTGCCCTGGCCCAGTTCCAGCTCATGTTGGATTTGGGAAGTGAAGCAGAGTATAAGGAGTTTATTCCATCGATCTGCCTCCTCACATAAATGAATATGGCAACCCAAATTCAGATGATGTACAAAGCATGCATTTACACACATTTTGAAAATATTTCTAAGATTTGTTTACTTATTTGAATGATAGAGGGGAATGCAAAGAGAGACATTGAACATTCTTCCATCGGCTGGTTAACTGTCCAAAATGGCCACAGAATGTGTCCAGATCTGATTGTATCCAGGATCTAGGAACTCCCCATGCAATCTCCTGTGTGGTTGCAATGAGCCATCATTCCTCGCCTCTAGATCACGTTGGCAGGAAGCTCTGTATGACACTTAGAGTAACTGTGACTTGAACCAAGCACTCTGTTATGGGATGTTGGCTCTAGTCCTGTGGTGCCATAAAGATTACCAAAAGCTCATATGAGCATTTCACAAAAAGTGGAGTACATTATATCCTATCTTTGTAGCCTTATTTCTTAATGTGTTACAGGTATATTTTTGCCTTTCTAAAACTGTTTTCATTATTATTATTATCACTTTATGCTACAATTCCATAGTCCCTGGGATTTTCCTTACTCCTTCCCCAAGTTACCTTCCCTACTGGGTTCCCCTATATTATTACCATAATACATAATACATAAACAATCATATGTCCATCATTGTGGGCATGGACCACGGCAAAGAGCCCAACTTTGTAGCCTTATTTCTTAATGTGTTACAGGTATTTTTTGAAACAAATATTTCATAATTTATTTTAAAAAGTCATGTTTAATTAACCTGTTTGTTTTTTCATTCTTTCCCTTATAATTTCAAATAATTTTGGTTCCACATATCAATATTTCAATAGTTTATTTTAGTGATTATCTTGGCATAATTTCTTAGTAAAAATTTGTTATATGTAGGAATAATATTCACACACAAGCATTTTTGTATGATGGCAAGGTTTGCAAATAAGTGATTCATTTTGTAAATATTTATGTGGTTTACTCTTTGTCCAAGCTACTTCTACCATGCAGTTCAGTTTTTAATAAATATCAGAGTAATTACTTTTATTTTTTAAAAATGCAGACTAACTTCTTTTTCTTTGTAATAAATTATAAATTAAGTGACTTTACCTATGCTTATGTGATAAGCCTAGTGAATCATATGGTTTTCCCAGTCCGAAATTTCACAAAATGATTGCAAATCATCTGGAGACCTCTCAGAATGAGGTTAACCTTTCCACATGAATAGTTGTGATTATTGCATGCTGTTGATATTCACTAGGTTGTGCAAGCTTTGTTCTCTGTAACATTTGATTTTATCTTTACCTCTTACTGAATAAAATGGGATATGATTTATGCAGCGCCATGAACTTACTGGAAGGGCAACATGCATTGATAATTTCATCTATTTTTTAAAAAATAGCATTTAGCCACATGCTGCTGAACTGTTTTAGTCCTTTATGGTTTCACAGAGTCATAGTGAATTTTCTGTAGAGATGATGGCCTTGAGGCAACTATGCAAAGCTGCCATGTGTAATGATGCTGAGTCTGTGTTGCAGTTGCCTGAGGCTTGCATCCTCCCACATTGCCCTTAGCATATTACTTGACTAATCAAACAGTCCTCCATCTCACATCAGAGAGCAGCATTCATTGGCAAGTGCACAAGTCATCTCCAGTTTTAGGTCCATGTCATCTGCTTACCTGAAATATTTCCTTTTCTAAAAGATCCTTCAATTCAAAATGTTTTATCTGCATTTCGTTATAGTGGATGCATACATTGACAGTGATATGTGTATGCTCTGGAATGTTCATGCTCATTTTCATCTAACATTTGTCTGCATGTTTCTCCATCTTTTGTTATTTTTCAGTGGGCAGCTCGGTTTGCCGAGAGAGAACTCCATAACTTTAAGAAAGAAAATGTATATAAAAGCAAAAAGTAAGTTTCTTAGTGGTAACACTTAACAACTTTCAGCTCTTTTATTGTTACTTTCTTAATTAGGTAATATTATAGGGATAAATAATGAAATTTCAGTGAATCCAGCATGTTTCACTGTGAAGTATTTACTCATTTTGACCCTTGTTTTAAATACTTAGGTCACTGACATATAATTTGAAAGAAACTTCACAGATTTTTATGTATGCTTTTATGTTTTTCAGTATTTAATATGAACTGAGCTAGTCATCTAGTCTAGGATTACTAATTAAGAATCATGCTTAAATCTCCAGACTGAACAAGTATCTTTGCAGTGAAAAAGGCAAAAATGAAGAAGCTTCAGGAAAAACTTACGATAATGACTGAAATGTATAAAGAAAATAAAATAAAATGTCACCAGTGACAAGGATTATATGACAAGCTGCACTGGATGGCAAGAAAGCTAGACTTCAAAGCCTAAGCATATATTTCATGTTCAGTCTCTGTGATCACTGGATATTCACACTTCATGATTCATTTATAAAATATTATTTGTTCTTAAATACTTTCCTCAAGAAAGTGTTGAAAGTAATATTAGACATTCTAAGCTATTACACAAATCATGTATCATTATCATGTGACTCCTCAGTGTAAGATCACCTTAAATTAGATCATAATTGATGCTATCTGACTGGGTCAAGGGATTCAGTTCCATTCAATTTTGCGTGCATCCACCTCTAATATGTATAAAGCTGACACTTCTCCTTTGTGCTGATTGCTCCTGCTCAGGTATTCCATGTCTTAGTTAAAGATTCATTTGTCTAGTTGATCAGGGTGACTTCTCAAGCTATACTTGACATCAGCGCTTTATGACATTTAAAATGCTAGAGAGGAACTTCTTATTAAAGAAGATTTATTTTGCCTAATGGGGTGGAAATACACTGTCCAAAATTGAGTGGCCTCATGGGTTCTGGCTTGGTGAGGTTGGAGAACAGTAGAAAGACCATTTATCATGGAGTGGGCCAGGAATCAGAGAGAGACTGGAGACACTCTGCTTCTAAAACCTGCTCTCTCTACAGACCTGTCTTGTTTTGGCAACTGTTCAGTGACCTACAACCTCTCTTTAGGTGCAACTAGCTTCTAGATGATATGATTTGATCCTGCCTCCACCACCAATGAGCTATCATTAATCATTAGCCTTTCTTCTTTGAAAATAAGATTGATTGAATTCAGGGAGGCAAATAATAACATTTTTACTCATTTTATAAATGTATTTTGACCATTTTTGTGGTTTCTGTTCTCTTTTTATGTGTTTATTTGGAGATTCCCAGAGCCGCCCTCCTTCCTCTCTCCTTATTCTCCCCCATTCCATTTTCTCCTATATTATAATAGTATTACTCTTTAGCAACAGTCATGAGTGCATCATTTGTTATTGAAGTGTATCATGGGATTGTAGCTATAACTATTGATATAGAATCTAGTATCAGACTGTCAAGGTGTACTTGACAGCCTTACTTGGAGTCCTCCTTTCAGTTGGGAGTAGAGACGCAAACCAAAACATATCTTACATTACTGGTGTGCTATCCTCCATTGTAAAATTTATCTATGAGAATATATGTATATACTTTTTTACCCATATTTCTATTCTCTTTTGTATTTTATGTGAGTGTTTCTCATCAGAGAAACATATTATTTATTTTGGGGGTAGACTGGCCTATTGCACCTATCATAATAGTATGTATTTACGAATGGCAGATTGGTACAAATGGCTCAAGTTCATTGTTATAGTTGTTGTGCGATATTCCAAAAAGTAGAAGCACCACGTTGTTTTTGTTTTGCATAACCAATTCCACTTTCAAAGGATATCTGGATTGTTTGCATTTCTTTGCTATCGTGGATTGTGCTGCTGTAAATATAGGTATGCAGGCCACTTTCTCATATTCAGATTTCAATTCCTGTGGATATATTCCCCGAAGCGGGATACTCAATCATGTGGCAGATCGGTTTCCACTTGGCAAAGCACTCTCCATACTGATTTCCATAGTGGCTGGACAAGGTACTCTTCCCACCAATGTGGAGCAGGTGTGCCTTTTCCCTCATTCTTATGAGAGGTGATATTAGTAGATTTCTGTGTGTGTGTCTTTCTCACTGGAGTGAGGTGGGACCTCAGTGTGGTTTTGCATTTCTCTAATGGCTATGGAGCCTGAGTGCTTTTTCATAAGTCTGCCAGCCATTTGAATTTATCCTCTTGACAAATTCCTGCTCATGTCCTTCATCCATTTCTTAATGGAGTTGTTTGTTTGACTGTGTTTGAGTATCTGAAGCTCTCAGTAAATCTTGAATGTTATTCCACTATCTGTTGTATATCGTGCAAAGAATCTTTTTTTTTCCCATTTGGTTGGTTTACAGACTGTTTTTCTCCACACTCCCCACTATTATTCTGGTGTAATCCATTACCACTTATACCTGAGCCATTCCAATAGCTTCATGAGATCTTACCATTTGCATTGTTGCCTTCAAAGAATCATTCCCTGGCTACCTAATTAAAACATGTGAAACCCCTTTCCCTATTCTATCTTTTATATTTTTTTCATAGCCCTTATCATTTTTGTTTGTTGCCCTTATTGTCCTGTGATTCTTTTTTTAAAAGCATTTTCACATTTAAGGTAAACATCATGAGTGAATGGTGTTCTCCTGTTCGTGTCTAAAGCTATGCAAGCCTGAATGCATGTGAGACTGAAATCAGAAACCCAGAGCTGCTTTCAGAGCTCCCAGTTGGGTGCAGGAGCCCATCTACCTAAGCACTCTTGTGCTGCTTTCCAGGCTGCATTAGCAGGGAGCTTTGTTGGAGACCTGGGAGCAGCCAGGTCTTAAACAAGCACCCGTATGGAATGCTGGTGTCAGAGGCAGAAGCTTAACATACTATATACCACAGTGCCAGCCTCAGAAATTTCAATGATGAAATATTCCTGTAGCTCATGTTTTTTATCATAAAGGGCAATAAAATACAATAATTTGATGCTTCATTAGTAAATTAATGAAGGGTATTCCTGGCTAATTTTTACTTTCTGTGTTTAAAAAAATTTCTGCTTGCTAACATTTGTAATATAACATCAGTGCTAACTAGTGATTTATTAAGCATACATTACCAGCTGAGATTGAGCAAGGCAAAATAAATGTCAGTTCTCATTGTATAAGCAAGTGTCTAATACACAGTATGTACTGTGCCACATTTTGGTGATTGTTAGTTAATTAGCTACTTACTGTGATGCCCAAGCATAGTACTGAAATGTCTTGCACTGTCCTACGCGTAAGCAGGATACTATGATTTTTCTTTTTTAAAGAGAATGTATTTGTGTCAGATAAATTTTGTTTTGGCATTAATTACAGTGTTATCGACTCTGAGCCCAATGTTAATAAGTCAATAATACTATATTAAATGAATCAAAACTAAAGCAAACCTAGAATATAGTAAGTATTGGTTGACTGATGAAAGTGTTTTGTTATAATCTAGCGGAAATGTTGCCTTGTGTTTTCCTTAGAAGTAATGATACACCATTTAACACTTCAGGATTTTTTCACTGATAAAATATTTTCTTAATTCCTTTTATGCTCTAAAGTTAGACACCAGGGAACACAGAATTACTGAGAGAAAGACAAAGAAATTTATCAAAAGAGACAAAGGAAAATGAACTAGATGCTGGTTCATTCCACAAAAGTCTGCAAGGCCACAGAGCTTCTCCCAGACAGAGATCTGTCTACTGTTTTCCTCCTAGGATAGCTGAAACAGTCAGGGCTGGGGCAGAGCACACAAGCTTCATCCTGGTCTCCCGTTTGGGTACTAGGCATCTCAGATATCAGGTACCCTCCTTGCAGAGCTGATTTAGTCATTAATATGAGTATCTGCAAGGCGTATGAGCAGCTTATGTTAAAATCTCAGGGCTCTATAAGTACATACTATTGCAAGTAGTATGCACACTAATAGAAACAGGCAGTACCTATTATACTACTAGCAAAATTTACTTTGGTTACAGTATGATTTTGCTTCTTTCTGATTTGAACCAGAACCCAACTCAAGACTTAAAACTGATTTAAAAAGATTTATTCATTTACTTATTTGAAAATCAGCATTAGAGAGAGGGAGAGGAACCTTGCATCTGCTGGTTGATTCTTCACATACCTGCAGCAGCCAGGGCTGTGCCTGGCTGAGGATCTGCATGTGGGATTCCCACATCATTAACCACCAATCTGAAATGACTTAAACATGGTTTGTTGTGGCTGACTCCTATGTATTAAATATAATGCTGCTTTATATAGGAGTCTGGGTAAATAGTATTTATATGAGCTATTTCATTTATTTTACCTTTTTAAATTGCATTTCATTTTGTGACACAATTTCTAAGGCTCTGGGATACCCCTAACCCCTTCCTGTACCCTCCCCCCAGGGTGGATTCCTCCACCATTTTGCAGTAATAGAAAAATCCAGTCAAGATTCTTTCATTGCAAGCATGTACCATGCATATAGAGTCCAGCATCTTATTGTCCATATAAATTCAACAGTTTCTTCGGGAGACCATCTCTCGTCAGAACGTAGAGCTGGCAGAATATCATCCCGATCAATTAAAGACACAACATAACATCAACAATAGTATACAACATTATGGAGTTAATTGACATGGTATTGAGTAACCAATATGTTAGAAGATGCAGGTTTTTAACCACATCCTGTGATTACTTCATTGACATTTCTATTTTAGTTTATACACAGCTGGCTGCTATACACCTTAAAATGGCTATAGGGTACTATTCAGCTGTCTCATGTCTATTTTCATTTTAGTATTTAGCAGTTTATAGTGTTGAAGCATAATTTTTACTGAACTTGGCAGATTTTAGATAGTCTAAACTGGCTTATAACTCTAACAAGCCATATGTCAACAGTTGAGGTACAGAACACTTTTAGGAGGGGTGTACAGAGAAATCTTCAATACCTTAGTGAGGAGTAACTTATCTTTGTGTCCTACCTAGTAAGGTATATGTGAGTCCTAGCTGACCTTTTCCTGTCTGGTTCTAAGCTTTCCTTGTTGTTCTCTGACTATCTAATCTAATTTTTGGGGGAAGTGGCTCCAGAGCGACCCTGATGATCATTGCAAGAGAGGATGGGGATCCAAAGCTGGAACTAAGTATGGAGCAGAGAAAGCTCCCTTCTTGAGGTTTGAAGGGCATTTACTATTCTTCTCTTTCTGCGGACTGCTTAGGGCTCCTGGCTATTGTTCCAATGACATTAGATCCAGTGAGGAAGGATCTGGGCATCTTCCATCCCATGTGGGAGATCTTGGCCTGTGAGGATGGAGTTATTGCCCTACGAAGGCAGTCCAATTCCCCGTGGTCTCTTTGGCAGTTGGGATATAGCTCTTGGTGCCTGTACTGGTAGTCCTTGGTGAGGATCCAGGGTTGGTATACACGCCTCCTCCTGTCCACCTGCTCCACTTTGGGGTCTCCCCCCAACCCCCGCTCTGTGCATTTGTCTTCCTGTTAAGAGGTTGTCAGGATCACTCTTGATTCCTCATGTATGTCTTTATGGTTTTGCTGATGTCTAATGCTGATTTGAGTCTGTTATCTAGAAGTTATCTGTTATATTCATTTTTTTTTTACCTTTTCAATCTTATTTCTGTGCCAAATTCATTCACAAAACTCTGGAGACTGTTGTGATAGCAGGATTATTTTAAGAGTTGTTGCTTTGAAATTTGAGTGTGTAATGTTAATTCTACATCAGAAATGCTTGCATATTAGTTTTTCATGTTGTGTTTGCAGTTGTAATTGTGGATGTTTTTTATGGGAGACTCCAGTTTTGATACAGTTAAAACACTATAAGTCTTTATGACATGCCTTGAATGTATTATAAATTTTCACTTTTGCTTTAAGGAACCTGCTGATCGAGGAACACTGCCACATAGAGGAAAAAACCATCTCAATTGTTGATGCAAATTTCAAATCTACAAGAGGAGTTGACTTATATTGGTATTAATGCTTTTTCTTTTGTGTCCTGGAGAATAGCCAGAAAAATATTTAAGCAGCCTAATATAAGGAGCATATTTTGCTACTTTTAAATTCCAAGTTCTTGTTATGAAATTCCATACAAAACCTTAAAAGGAAAAACAATACCCTTATGCATGTGATTTTTAATCTCATGTTTGAATATGGACCAGTCTTACCTATTACATCAAGGAATTTATGAATAGACACTTATTTCAAGGTTTTTACTCTTTAGTTCCAATGGAGAAGAATGTGTAGGACATGAAGGGATTCAGCAACTATGTTATAAAGGAATGTATGAGCCATAATTAGTATTATTTGTATAGGTTTATAAGAGAGTAAGTTTAGTTTTTACCTTGGAGCTTTCCTTACTTGGCCAAAGGGGATACTGGAAAGCCTAAAGACAAAGGGTAAGATTCAGCTGTATTTGCATACTTGGAGTACTTCATTATATGTCAGGAAGAGTAAGGTTGGGTTGGGTCTTATTTTAATGAAGGAAGTAGCTGATTTGTCCTCTTTTTTGATTTATTCACTTGAAAGACAGAACAAAGATAGAACCTGGAGGTAGGGGTAGAGTAATACACACACAAGCACACAGAATGGGAGAGAATGACCCTTCCATTTGCTGATTAACTCTCCAAATGGTCACAACACCCAAGGCTAGGTCAGTCTGAAACCAGGAGCCAAAAGCTTCCTTTGGAACTCCCCCGTTGATACAAGGGCATGAGCAGATAGCCAGCATCCTTTACTTTTTCAAGCACATTATCGCAGTGCTGGATTGTATGTGTAGTAGTAGCTAGGATTATCAGGTATCCATATAGTTATCAGGTGATGTAGGTTGCCCTCGGTGCCACAGCATCAGTCCTATATGGGGAGTCTGATAAGATATGTAATTTTGTGAGGGAAAGAATTCATTTCCTATAGCCACTTAAACATTATGAATATCTGGATGAATCTTCCATCATGTACTTACAATACTGTATGAAATATTGCTTTAGGAAAGTTTAATGAGTAGAATTTACATTAGATGAAGAAAAAATGAGAATTCTATTTGATATTTCTCAGCATGTGCAGTTTTTGTTATTTGTTCCAGGAAATAGATTGTTCTTGATGTTGTAATGTATATTTTTAAAGTAGAGTATATTATTTTATTACGGTGATTACATATGAATAATTGAGAATTTATATCTTCTAAACAGTAAAAAAGCCAAAGATACTGAAGAAAGAGCGAAAAGAACCACTGTTTATTACCAAGGAAGGGTAAGTGTGTGTGTGTGTGTGTGTGTGTGTGTGTGTGTTGTGTGTGTTGTGTGTGTTGTGCATGTTTAGGTGTGTGTGTAAATATTTATTGTAACCTGTGTCTTTATGTAGAATGGAAAGGGAAAAGTGATTCCTTTACTAGTTTTATATCTTTCTTGATGTGTTACATGTGGTATTCAGTCATTTCCATGTTTTCAGTGCTTCAAAGAATGTGTAATAAAAAAAAATCTCATGTCACCATGTCTCCTGTCTTGGGCAAAAGGAATTACATTGCAGACATAAAAATAAATTCTAAATCACCAGTTGGGTCTCTATTCAGACTGGCTAGTTATCTGTTAATTGACAGTTCCTTTTGTGGCTGATTACTGACAAGGGAGCATAAACCAAAAGTGTATGAATTACAAATTTTAGCTGCTTTTAGTGACTACACACATTGATGTGTGTCCATGAAATTTTGCATAAAGTTGTCTTTACTGACACAAAATGTGTGTGGAATATTTCTTAGCTTGTGAGTTACTTCCTATGTGAAAGACAGGATGTTCTTTTTGTTTAAGAAAACTAATTTTCAAGCATTCTGTTTTTCAGGTTATTCATTATAAGAAAAAAGCCCACCAAAATTGGGTAAGTTTCAAATTGCCTTAAAGTTTTTTCTATTTCTTGAAATAAATTCTGCTTTTCCTTCAGGAAGATAATGCTGGGGATTTAAATTTATGAAAAAGATAGTATATAAAAACCAGTAGTGGTATTACATTCCATTTGGAGAAATAATACATTATCAAATGGTGGTTATTTCCCACAGTCTTCTTTTAGCATTTTTCTTCTTCACAAATAGCCTAGAAGAGTGTAAGAGGGTTAGAGAAACTTGTTGCATATGCTCATGTTTGTGTATTTACATTTTGGGACATTGGATTGCCCCTTGTTATCTAGAGGAGCCAGAAAGGTCTCTGGATCATTTTACTCAATTGTCAAACAAATTGGATTGGAAAAAGAGCTAGCTAAAGCCCTTTCTAGTTCTAAAATTGAGGGTTCTATTAAGTGATTCTCAGTGTTGGTAGGAATTAAGGAAAGGGTCATCCGGGGAACTAGTTGTCTGTGCTGCAGAGAAACTGCATGATGAGGAAGTGAAGTGGCTGTAAGTTTGAGCAGTTAGAAGGAAGAGCAGAGATGGAGCTGTTGACAGTAGCTGTGCACTGGGAGTGCCTGTCACAGGGAGGTGGAGACAGCATTCAGGGCTGTTTGTCAAGTGCTTGACACTGACAAACATGAAGTCAGTGTTAACTGGTGTTACCATTGCTATTATAGTGAAAACTTGTAGATGTTAGGCCAGTCTGAGAGTGAAGAATGTAGAGAGAAATTAAATTTAGAAGTAAGAAGTAAATTGCTCTTTGCTTTCTGTACTTCGCTTGCTGAGAATAGCTGAATAGGATGTCTTTGGTAAATGATTAGGCTCAATTGGGATTCAGGATACAAAATTCAACAATGGCCCTGAGATAAGTATCTCAGGAGGAATCAAAGTAAAATAGTGAGGAGCCGAAAAATCCCCGACTTCTTGGAGTAGGCTCCAAAGGTCTGAGAAAAGTAAACTTGGTCTCAAAAAAAAGCAAAATTGTGACAAAGAACTAAAAAAACCAGCAGTCTTATGATGTAATGGTCAGGAAAAATCAGCCCCTAACTTTATTGTTTTATGATTCTATTTGTACCTATTAGTAAGCTATTTTTCAAAATGCTGTATCTGTGATTTTGACCTATAAAAGCCATGTGGTGTAGCGACTGAGTACGGATGTGCCACCCTCCTGCGTGAGGAACTGGTCTCCGTCCCAGCGCGCTGGCATCTGAATAAATCCTCCTGCTTTTGCATCAAGCCTCACCTTCGTTGATCATTGGGGAGACTCACTTTCTCAAGAGTTGGTAAGGCTGCCCTCACTTCGTGTGGCCTTACAAGAGGAGCATAGAATGAGAGAGTGGTATATTGAATGTGAGGTCCCTCCCCTTTCTGACATTCTGTTTGTTTTGGTTTCAAGAGTTCAAGTGAAGATTCATTAGTGAATTAGCTAGGATCATTATAGATTCAGTTTTCTTCACCATTTCTCACCACTTTCTAAATACTTATGCATATTATTTTCAAAATTTATTCATTTTATATGAAAAGACAGATTTACAGAGAACAGGGATACAGAGAGAAAGATCTTCCATCAGCTGGTTGACTCCCCAGGTGGTCGCAATGGCTGGAGCTGAGCCAATATGAAGCCAGTTGCCAGGAGCTTGTTTTGAATCTTCCATGAGAGTGTGTGGTTTCCCAAGGCTTTGTGCCATACATTACTGGTTTCCCCAGGCCACAAACAGGGAGCTGGATGGGAAGTGGAGCAGCTGAAACATGATCTGGTACCCATATGAAATCCTGACGCATGCAAGGCAAGAATTTTTTTTTTTTTTAACTATGAGGATGATGTGTATTAAATTATTGCTATTTTGGGCAAGACACTTAAAAGTAGCTTGCTCATGTTCCTTACTAAACCCGTTTAATAAGTATAAATTGGATTATACCATTTCAGATTTTATGATGAGAAAACAGCCCAAGATCACATAATTAGATAGTGCCTGACACCCATGTGGGAGACCCAGATTGAATCCTGGGTTCTTCTTTAGTCTGGCCTGTATCTGGCTGTGTGGCCGATGAGAAGAGAACTGGTGTTGGAAAAAAAAAAAGGTCTCATTACTATTCAAATAAAAGAATAAGAAAGGTCTTGTGATTATTGCATGCTGTTGATATTCACTAAGTTTTGCAAGCTTTGTTCTCTGTGACATTTGATTTTATCTTTACCTCCTACTGAATAAAATGGGATATGATTTATGCAGCGCCATGAACTTACTGGAAGTGCAACATGCATTGATAATTTCATCTATTTTTTTAAAAAATAGCATTTAGCCACATGCTGCTGAACTGTTTTAGTCCTTTATGGTTTCACAGAGTCATAGTGAATTTTCTGTAGAGATGATCGCCTTGAGGCAACTATGCAAAGCTGCCATGTGTAATGATTCTGAGTCTCTGTTGCAGTTGCCTGAGGCTTGCATCCTCCCACATTGCCCTTAGCCTCTTACTTGACTAATCAAACAGTCCTCCATCTCACATCAGAGAGCAGCATTCATTGGCAAGTGCACAAGTCATCTCCAGTTTTAGGCCCATGTCATCTGCTTACCTGAAATATTTCCTTTTTATCTGCATTTCGTTCAAGTGGATGCATACATTGACAGTGATATTTGTATGCTCTAGGATGTTCATGCTCATTTTCATCTAACATTTGTCTGCATGTTTCTCCATCTTTTGTTATTTTTCAGTGGGCAGCTCGGTTTGCCGAGAGAGAACTCCATAACTTTAAGAAAGAAAATGTATATAAAAGCAAAAAGTAAGTTTCTTAGTGGTAACACTTAACAACTTTTAGCTCTTTTATTGTTACTTTCTTAATTAGGTAATATTATAGGGATAAATAATGAAATTTCAGTGAATCCAGCATTTTTCACTGTGAAGTATTTACTCGTTTTGACCATTGTTTTAAATACTTAGGTCACCTGATTGTTTAATTTTCCTTCATAATGCTTTTTGCATTATATAATTGGTTCCACTTCCCTTTTCCCTATGCAAATTGCCACTGCCCAGTTATTCCTCATCTTCATGAAAAAATGTCATTTGCCTTATTGTCAAGTTGACTGCTAAAGCCATGCTTTTCTTCTGTTACGTGTATTAGTAAGATTTTTGTGATGTTATAACACTTGAGAGGAACTTCTTAGGAACGTAGATTTATTTTGCCTCACAGGAGACACATCATCAAAAACTGTGTGATGTTTTGGGTTCAAGATCTGTTGTGGCACCTGTACAGTAGAGTAGCCATTCATTACACAGCCAAGTAGTCTCTTACTCCATCACTATACATTCCCTTAAGCCACAAATAAGTTTGATAACAGATATGATGTTAAAGCAAAGACAAAACTAAACAAAAATACAGTACCATAGAGTTGAACATATATGCCATTGAATAGCCAATTCATAGGTGATGAAAAGAAAACACAGAAGTCTACTTTTCATGATGGTTTCCTTATATTAGAGAGAACATATGGCATTTATCCTTTTGGGTTTGACTTATTTTACTGAAGAGGATGGTCTCTAGTTCTGACCATCTAGTTGCAAATGATATGATTTCCTTCTTTTTATTGGCTGAGTAGTACTCCATAAAATAGAGGTACCACTCTTTATTTAACCACTCCTCTTTGGATGGGCATCCGCATTGTTTCCATGTATTTTCTTCTGTAGATTGTGTTGCTATGGATATAGGATTACAGCTGCCTCTCATATATGCAGTATTCATTTCCTTTGGGTATATTCCTAGTAGTGGGATACCTGGTTCCTGAGGCAGGTTCATTTGCAATTCTCTAAGTACTATCTGTGCTGATTTCCACAATTGCCGTACTAGCCTGTACTCCCACCAGCCGTGAAGGAGGATATTTTTCTTCCCGCTCCCCTGCAAGCAGGTGTTGTTAGTTGAGTTCTGAATGTAGGCCAGTCTGAATGAAGGTAGATGGTACCTCAGCATGGTTTTAATGTGTATCTCCCTGACTGCTAGGGAGCCTTAGTATCTTTTAATATGTCTGTTAGCCATTGGATCTCTTCTTTTGAAAAAAACCACTGTTTATATCCTTTGCCCATTTTTCACAGGGTTGCATTATTTATTTATTTATTTTCTGTCCCTGGGTTTCTGAAGCTCTTTGTAAATCCTGGACATTAGTCCCCTATCACCTGTGTAATTTGCAAAAATTTTCTCCTATTCTGTTAATTGCCTCTTCATTTTGTTAATCATTTCCTTTTCTGTATGGAAGATTTTTAGTCCCATTTATTTATTTATTTTGTCTTTGACTACCTATGATTTTGGGGTCTTTTCTAAGAAGTCTGGTTCCATTCCTATTCCTAGG